TAGGATTTAGGGTTTAGGGGTTAATTAGGGGTTAGGGTTAGGGTTTAGGGGTAGCTTTATAATCCCGGTGTTCATTCATTGCATTTAGGGTTTTTGGAAGTGTAAGCCATAGTCAGTACTGGAAGAGGTTTAGGAGTGGGGTCAAGGCCTTTGGCTAGAAGGGCAGTCGGCTTTAGGGTTGCGCCGTCGCGGGGGTTTAGGCTTTAGGTTTCTTGACCCCACTGAACCTCGGGGTTTAGGGTTTAGGGTTACGGGTTTAAGTTTAGGGTTACGGGTTTAAGTTTAGGGTTACGGGTTTAAGTTTAGGGTTTAGGGGAATCCTAGACCCCACGACAGTTAACAACCCTCACTTGCTCTGTCTGACGCCATTAACCTCGAAGGCTATATCCTTGCCCTGCGCCGCGTAGAACACCGCATTTAAGAAGCCTTCTAAGATCGCGATACCCTTCTACAAGCCCTGCAACCCTACACACTCCTACATTACATAGATACAGCCCTTGTGCAATCACCACAGCCGAACCCCCATAACCCCCCCAAATACCTCGACGTCGAACCCCAAAACCCTAAACCCTAAACCCTACAACCCTAAACCCTAAACCCTAAATCCCTAAACTCTAAACCCTCGACATCGAACTCCAAAAAGCATCGCCAGGCCTTGAGAGGCTCCAGCGCAGCTGCGCCTCCTTCGGGACGAAGAGCACAGAAGTCCAAGAGATGCTGCGCCTGAGCCGACCGAGTTAGGGTTGAGGGTTTAGGGTTTAGGGTCTACGGTTTAGGGTTTAAGATTTAGGGTTAGGGCCTGGGGTTTTTAACCCTAAGCCTTATAAACCCTGAATCGATATAGGTCCTCTAGGGTTTAGGGTTCAGAATCAGAGCGTCCTGAAATTTGGGGATCTGTGAGGATGAGCAGATGGGGCGTATCATCGTGTATTACGTGGCAGTCCGCTTTGTAGGCTCTTCTTTCTTGGCTTCGGGGTGTGGGGGGCTCTCAGCAGGGGTCAAGGTTGGAGCCGGATTATAAAGCTTAGAGCCATCAGCCCGGGCCCCAAACTCTAAAGCTCTACGCCCCAAGATCCGAACCCTTAACCCTTAACCCCAAACTCTAAACCCTCAGCTCCTGAGGAAGAAAGGCTCCTTGCCTTCCGTGGTTTGCAAGCTCCTGGGCCAGCACACAGACGTGAGCCTGGAGCAGCAAGCGCGCAAGAAGCGGAAGTTCTTTCAGTAGCCCGGGACCGAACGGATCTGGTTTAGGGCTTCGGTTTGGTGTCGAGTCGTGGGAATCTATGTGTCAAATCCGTGATGTTTTGACTCACGCGGAGTCTTGGAAGTTTCGACTTTGCCTTCATGTGCACGAAGACCGAATCCCGTGAAAGCCCACCCCTGAACCCCTCAACCCCAAGACCTCTAAACTCTAGGGTTTAGGGGTTTTGGGGTTTAGGGTTTAGGGGTCTAGGGGTCTAGGGGTTTAGGGTTTAGGGGTTTAGGGTTTAGGGTCGAACCCGTAACGCTACGCCTTGAATCCCTGTTTGTACATATCATCATCGGATCTGATCGAAGTTTCTTTAGTTCAGTGTACTGGAGTTCAGCACGATCTACTATAGGGGTTGGACTAACTACTAATCGTAGTAAGTTCTCGTTATGGTGTCTTGTTCTTATACTCCAAAATAGCACCCAAACCCTATGTTTTTTATTTATCAAGGCCGCCATACTAGGGTTTCGGAAGGTTTGGGGTTGCAGGTGCTGGGTTTAAAGTTTAGGACGTTGTGTTGGGACTTCTACATCTTACGTCGACCCAGACACAAACTCCGTGACAGTAGAAGTGTGTAGAAGGGTGTTGGGTTTAGTTTTTAGGGTTTTGGGGAACCCTAAACCCTAAACCCTAAACCAGTTTGCCCGGGATACTGTGCCAGCAGTTGCAGGTAGCCAGGGAGCCCAAGGCGAAACATTGCGTAGACAGAACAGGGATCCACGTCAGTTGAATCAGGGCTTTTGGGTTTAGGGTCGGGTGCCTTCCTTCACGGCGGGATTTTGGGCTCCCTGGAAGAGCCGGAAGGATGATGACTGCGCGGAGTGAAAAAATAGCACCGGAACGCCTCAGATCTGGGTAAACTCTGAGCTCCCTGAAGCCCTTAAGCCTTAAGCCCCTACACCCCAAACCCTAAACTCCTAAACCCTAAAGCTTAACCCCTAAACCTCTAAACCCCTANNAACCCCTAAACCCCCAAACCCTGATCGCCGTAGTCCCCAAATCCTAAATATTGAAACGCTACACCCCTCGGTCTTCTTGTGCTCGGTGAGGTCTTAGGACTCGGTTCTGGGCTTCCGGCTTCTGACGAACTCTCCCTTCCTGGGCTGTGAACCCCAGGGCTTAGGTCTTCTGAAGGCTTTAGGGTTTAGGGGTT